ACATTCAAGTATATTTTCGAAGTCTTTAAGAATCTATTTATATCGTTATATATGCCCGATATTATACCCAAACGTTTTTTTTTTATGAGCCCGTAAAGTCTCCGAAAAATTCAAAACTGAAATATCGACCGGGTCTTTAAAGTCCCACTTGTTCTGCGAAGGGTTAAAGAAAGAATTACAAAATTACTTAAATGTCACGACAGATTTTTATTCCACGTTAAGGAGCGGATTAGAGGGAAATGCAGCTATCCTGCGTTTTAAAGGAAAGCATTGGCCGCGACAATTATGTATGCAGCTGAGCGAGGTCGCCGTGATGTAAAATTCGCGGGGTATGACACGGGTATCAGGTGCAGCAGGACGATGAAAAGGACATAAAACCTTTCAAACCGCCGTCGGATTGTTCGGATGTGGTAAGTCCGTTATGAAGGCTTGCTCCTTTTCACGATTCCGAGGAAAATCGTTTCGCCGCCCGCCATTGTACGGGAGAGTAAGCCGATTCCTCGTCATCGAATGGAAACGATTTGGTGTCTCGGTGTGTTCGTGAGGGTATCGCAATGGCCGTAAGGAATTCCAAGGGATGACTGAATCACACCTTTATTATGCTACATCACCGGCGACGAATCGGAAAAATACAGCGGATTTGCATTTTTACTCGCTCCGCGGTAATAGCGAGGTGCGGAATCCCGCGACGAGGTGGATTTTAAATTTATGATTCGTAATGACATATTTCCATTTAATCGACAGGGCAGACTTTCCGTCGGTCATCGGGGAAAAATTCGATCATTATACATTGGGATGCGAATCTGCAATTTAATCGCATTCCTTGATTTTCAATATAAATCGCTGTCGCTCGGGGAAGTGGGACGTCGAATAAAATAATTCGGCGAAATATCGGTCTCATCATGTAACGACACGTAAACGTTGTAATTTGTAGTTAAAACTGCATAATATATCCATCGGCGTAAATTAAATCGTAAATGCGTTTTATTAGCGCGCTATTGCAACGCGATCATCAGTTGTGCGGCTGCATGCGCTCTGTTAAGCAAATTAATAATCGCCCACTGTTTCAAGGGCTTCGACGAACAGACAGGCGTAATAAATACCGAAACCGGAAAAGCGTAATTACGCGCAGCACTCGCGCTATTCGGCTTTTAAACTCATCACCCGAATGCTATATGTCAATATTACGTCCTTACTGCGAATCATAATGTGATGGCATTCGTTTCACGATTCGCGACGTCTCTTAAAGCTATATTTACGTCGACAACGAACGAGTTAAAATTGTTTTCTATTATTATTTCCGCGCAAACGAGATCTCAGAAGGCTCTTTTCGAGAATTTCGCAATTATTCGAGAGTGATTAAATAATATGAAAATTTGTATACTAAAATGAAGCCGCGGGTTAACCAACAACAACGTTGTTTCCAACAACAGGCTCTAACAAGACCAAATCCCCACGCTGCTCAAATTCCACGCTACGATCCGTATATAGTCTCTTTCACCGTCCGTGATCTCTTCTTAATGCGGGACCGCGCCACCTTCATCTCTCAAGTCGCGATCTACCGCGCGCGGCAATTTGTGTCTCGTCCGTGCACGTGCCGATTTGCCTGTGTGCACCTCGCCCGACGACTAACGCACGTGTGAGATGAGGTAATAAAAATATTACGAGGACCTCTAATCTTTCTCGTATAATGGTATCCATAATTCCTCGGGGCGCTGTGGAGGCATGATCGGGCCTCCCCCCTCGCTATCCCTCCCCCGGTCCACTGCTATTCATCCCCCCCAGCCTCCGCGTGGGCCACCGACCACGGGGGTGTTAGATGGTTTCCCGATCCTACCTTCGTCTCTTCTCACGCCGTTCCGGTCTCATCTATCGGCGGCAGGCATAAAGGAAGGCGCCGATAAGTTTTAACGTCGCTGCCTTCCCTCCGATTATCTTTTTCGAACGATCTACGTGACCCCTTGGTCCCTCTCTATCGCCCGAGACTATCCATCTTTCTATTTTCATGAGTCTTCCCGCGAATTAAGGCCCTCCGTTTACGACGAATTGATCCACACCAAGGCCGCATTTTCGACGACGCGGTTGCGGCCAACTGCGCGTTATCTGGTCCAATCGACATCGATCCCATGTTATATATGTCGGTTAATTTTTATGACCCCTTAATTCGATAATTTCTAGAACGATCTTTCCTTAATCTATTAAGCATCGTAATAGAATCATAGTAGCGATAGCTAATTTAAATAAATCTGTAATTTCTTGACTAAAATTTAACGGATTAAATCCGTTCCCTTTTTAGAGCACAACAAGATGTCATAATTCAATCGCGAAAGAGCTTTATAAAGCTATACGTTAACGCGTTTACAAAAGTTTTAGCTTCTCCTGCATGCGTTTGCCGGATATTCGCATGAGAATAAGTTTTAAACATGAGAGTCGACATCGGTAATAACTATTATATTATACGTTATATAAAACGAAATAACAGTTTCCGTAGAACTCTCCCGTGTATATGTAAATATAAGTACAATGCCGGTATTCACAAAAGCTCGTGAAAGCGTTTGGTTTCTAAAGAATAAATACTCGTCAGAAAAAAAATTACTCGAAAGTAAAAGTTATTCATTATAATTAAGCGTCTTTTATACGATCTTATTTCGATCGTACTCCTGCACGTTTTGTATCACTAATAATCATTTCTTCTCGAAAATTCGAAGAAGCGGGAAGAGAGTAGACGTTAACTTCCGAACCACTCCGCATCGGCGGAATAGACGTGGCATACTGTAATCGCTGTTGCATGCGCAGGTTGAAGCAGTTTCCGCCAAATGAACTTGCATTCAACTTTAGGTTATTATTTCCTAACTTTCATTCCGCTTCTAAAATCGGCATTCTGCGGTTCAACGGCCGAGCGCTTCCTTGCCGAATGGAAGGAAACGTCTAATTAAATTGGCACTGGTATACGTGTCCGATACGCGTTTCGTTGATACACTTAAGGTGGCTAAGCTTCGAAGGAAATTGGTTCATATTTAGATATGGCGTGTTTCGATCGAGTTCAGCGTTTCGTATCGCGAATGTGAGCTACGCGGAACGCGCACACGCTTCTCACCGTGACGTGAGATGCAAAATGCGGACGAGTGTGTGCAGGCGCAGGACGTAGTTGGTCCTGTAACACTTTCGTTATACGCACACATCGCAAATGGTGTAAATACTGGAGAGCATGATTTAAAACTCTTACAATTCAGAATAAGCACTACGAAGGATTCAATGGAATTTAGTTGAAGAGAATGGACTCGAAGAAGTTCAAGGAACGAGAGGAAAAAGCGCACGATAGAGCCCATACATTGAATATAGAACCTATAAACGTGGTCGTCGATACTGATTTTGCGAAATCTACCGCGATACCGTATTCATACAATGTTATATACGTGTGCGTTGCACGGAATCTAAAAATAAGGGGTACCACGCTCGAGTCACGAAGCTGCCTCAGAACACGACAACGAGCAGGACGGTAAGGAGGCGAATGGAGGAGGAGGATGAAACTTGTACTCGTGGAAATCCGAAATCACGTCCTTAATTTCCATAAAAGAGTGCAAGAACTACGCGCCCGCCCCTCGCCCCTCGCCTACCCCTCAATCGAGAATGTCACGTGGCTGGCGCGCCTCTCGTCCCTCGCCCTTTCCTTTTCCACCCCTCAAAGAAGCTTTGAGCTCGGTAAGCATATCTCTCAGCATCCTTTTACCCCCTTGCACGCGATCCAACTACTCAGCACATTCTCGGCGAATCCACCGTCCCCTGAAATTCGTTGCATTCGTTTAGGCTGACACACGCGAGTGCGCTCGACGGTATTGCCACGAGAATGTTTGACCGAAAAATCGCTCGGCACAGTCGAAGCGGCGGATTGCTGCCTCGCGAATGAGGCAGCGACCGTACGGTAATTCAAGCGCGGAAATTCCCGAAATATATACTGCTAATCCGAATGCAAATCAGACAGCTCAGAAACTTCATACAGCGCTACATACTTATTATTCGGTGTGTGACACACCATTTCCCGTGATTTTATTTCAAATTCAATTTAAGAACTTGTGTCACTCGTGACGAATTACTGGGCGAATACTGAATTTCCGCGTAGACAACTATTTAACGTAATTTTACGCACTCGCCCTCAAAGATCACGTAGTAAATTATTGACCGTGCATTGAATCAAATTACGTACTACACGTGATTTCATTAAACCGTGTGTTGCACGCGGCCGCGCACGAGTCCTTCTCGTCTGCGATACGTGATTAAATTGCAATAACGCCATACGGTGTACGGACGCGAAGCATGACGTTAACGGTGAAGAATATTGCGTTTTGACGGGCAATCAGTTTCTCTCGCATATAAATTATTCCGCAAATTGATAAAATAGGATCCACTTACCTTCGTGTCTCGTGAGGGCGAGACAGAGAGAGGGAGAAGCGATCTGCGAAAGTTGCCCGCCATTACTGCCGTAGATAATTAATTAAGGATGAAACGTGGTCTCACAGGCCGAGGCATGAACTTCGGGCCAGTGTTCAACCCAGTTTTGTCCCAGATAATTTGTCAGCATGCTTGAATTTTTGGATCGAGCGTGGTCCCGATGCTCGAGAGCGCGAAACTTTCGTTGAGCGCCGTTGGAACTTTACCTTACCCTTGACGCGCGTCGACGAAGAAATTTGTAATGACTAACTTTGAGGGGCGTGCTGACTCGAACTTTCTCCTAAGCGACTCTGGTTCGGAGATTAGCGGGTTATTGGAATTTATTAATTTACGCCTCCGATATTTCTCCTCGTAACATTGATGTATGATATCGTGTAAATTATTCGACGAGATTATCGCTGAATATATCCAATCAATGTAGAATGGCAGGAGGGAATGTGTAAGGAACCTATACAAAAATAAAAAGAAGATATTAGAATCGATGTAAATATGATAAAAAGAAAAGAGAAGAGAGAGAGAGAGAGAGAGGAGAGAGAGAGAGACACAGCGGATTGCTGTTGCTGTACAATATAACGTCGCCTTTATTATTACCGTTTGCTTATTAACCACAATTGTTAAACGTTCACTTTTTCATATGATACAACTTTATTCTCTATACACACGCTTTTTTTTTCCTCCCTAAGAGTTTCGTCTTCCGCTGCTTAACGTCTATTTTAGGTAATGTCTGTTCGTGTACATTTTCTGTGTTTTTATATACAAAAGCGCCGGATTATTCGTCCATCGGCTAAGCTAACGGAGAGCCAGCGTTCTCTTCCGCGCGATTGATCTACCACATGACTTCATCCTAATCTCTTCCTCTTCCGTACCATTCCTTCTTTATTATCCTACTCCTCTCTATCCCGGAGCTATTACGAAATTGCTCTCCGCCTCTTCTCCTCCTCTTCCTCCAATGAGATACCGGCTATTTCTTCTTCTGTATCTTCTACCGAGATCCATCACGATCGTCTCGCTTCTTCCCGCGCTTCCGCTTCATTTCCCCCATTCCATTTTCCATCCCCCCCTCGTTTCGTAATGGTTTTCGCTTTACATCGTTCACGTCGTATCGCCATTGGCTATGAAGTAATTGACAAAAACCTGTCAAATTAACTCGACCGAGTCACAGGCTCATCAGCGGAATTAATTCATTCAAACATATACATTTTATTTTCGCGATCTTTCATATGAAAACATATTGATCATATATGATTTTATCAACGATGGGCAGTTTAAAAAAGTTTTCTTACCTTAAGAGACAATGCCTATCTTCTCGCTATAGGAATCATCCATTATCTGAAAGTGCTATTGTCCATTTTACAAAATTATATGTACATACGTGTATATACGTGTATGTATATATACACATATCGTAATTTATAGTAACATGTATTATTTTAAATTGCGCCCATCCTTGATAACTCTTATAGTCTTCAATGCGTAAACTTACAAAACAGCATTAAATGAAAATCTGTATCGCAACAAGACACTTAAAGCTCCTTTGATCACTCGTGTTACGAGAATTACGTTAGTGCTGTAGCAACACACACGCAACTTTGTCCTCGCTACTCCGGAGAATAAAACAAAATTCGATTCATGTTGTTGCAAACTTATCTACAAATTATACGTAATGTATAATTTGCAGATAATTATGTACATATAACTTCTGCATGACATATTGGTTACATTATAATTGTTCGTCCATTTTGAGAGTTATTATACGGTATTCATTTCGCATCGACTTACAACCGTATTCAAAATCCACTGTTCTGTCTCTTTTTTCACACAGCCACGGCACAATTTCCTCGTTCTTCCGTTAGAAATTAGCTCTTTCCATCAGTATCCTCCCCACATGAGCTCGCTTCGTTCCACTCCCTTAGAGAAAAGTCCCCTCTCGTGGTCCTGCCGCGGGGTGGCCTCAGACTACGTTGTGCGATAGGGAACCGTCGTCCCGCCACGTGTTGGCTGGAAGGAAAAAGTCATCTTTTCAAATTCTCATCGAGACGATCCCTTCGCGGTGAGGCACGAAGTTTAAGGCTTCTCGAGCCTGGCTAACATCGTGTGTTACCTCTATAATGCATGTCCTGCGCCATCGACGGACACTTGGCGTTTCCTCGCTGCCAGAATAACACAGAAAGTGCATTTAAGCTGCGCGAGAAATACTGACGAGATTGATTCTTTTATGATCAATCAAGATATTTACAGCGAGGATATCTTCCACCGCATAATAGTAGATTGTAGATAGTAAAAAAAGGTCGAATTAAATATTACAAGTGATCTGTTTTTTTAATGCTAAAAAAATGTGAAAGAATAGCTTCTATTTAAATTAAAAGTTATAAAGCTCATTAGAGTTATATGCTTGTGCTAAAATAATTTATAGTTTATTTTTAATAAAATAATTAAAAAAAAAGAATCTATATTTGTTTTTTTCCTTTAAAAGTCCTTTAACGGATATGATGCTAATCTTACGATATTAGATTCACCGCAATATGTCAATTATCCCGATTGACACACTTCTTCGCACGAAGTATCGAATGATATAATCGCAGCATTATATTACCTTGGCAAAATCGATATTCGTTCGCACGGTTCTATAATGAAGACCCTGCAGCGGTCTGGAATTGTTACCGAGAGGCGCTTTCGGTGTGCTGACTGGGCCCTGCATTAATTTCCTTAGGGCGTACAGCTAATAACAGAAACAATGCGCTCTATAGAAAGATCCGTTGACTGATCCAACAGTATTGACAAAACTATTTTCGAGCCGTCCTACCGTCTTCGGCCGCTACTTTCGATGATTCGATTATTATTGCGAGACACGCAAACTCCCGCGAATCAGAACCGGAATTTAGGTGGAAGAGGCGAAGAAAAAAAATATGCCGGGAGAAGTTCGGCGGCGAATAAATCGCTGAACTAGTGAGATCGACTGACTGCTTACCTCTCGCGCCGTGATGTAAATTGGTTTGTTGAGGATCAGCCAGACCGCCGTTTCCCAACAACCGGGGTGCGTTGTACTGCCCTCGTAAGTCATGTAACCGGGGGTCTCCGGTAGAAGGCTTCTCAGGGACAGGTAGCGCACGGGTGCGGTGTCCCCTGAAATACAAATTATTAATAAGATTTGCGTCAGAGCCACTCTCGAAATAGGATTTAATTATCTCGCCTCTCGCGACGCATCTCAATTATTTTGCAATGGGTATAACCAAATACGATTATCAGCGAATTTCACTCGTTGGGATTTCCAAGGATTTCAACGATACTAGCTGGCTAAATCGAGCGATCAGTCGAGAAATTAATCAGTGATACTTTTAATGCTCGGGAGATTTTCGACAATTAGATGGCCGTAAAAGTTTAATTAGATTCCTAGATAAGAGTTCATGAAACAGAAATGCGTGCGTTCCGAGATTAGAAAATGGAAATTGAGAAGTAAGAAATTCAGAAGCAGTGTTAATGCACATTATATTTGTACATTGTGCAAGATGTTAAACGATACAGGAATAAATGATACACGCGAATTATATAGATCGTGAGACGTTACGTCTGATAATCAAGATATTTTGAGATGCTTGATTTATCAGCTATTATATACAGAAGCCGAATTCAACCGTCATTCGATGAATTCGCGGATTGTCCCGTTTTTATACGCTCATTTTCTGCTCCATGATATTCGACTCCTGAACACCAGCCGCGAGACTCAACGAACGAAAATCATTCTCGCAGCTGCATGCGGCGCAGCGTTCCTATAAATTCACCGATTATCCCGGCGTGCAGCGAACCTCGTACTTTTACCGATAACAGGCGTATGTGGATTATGGGGGATAGTAAAGCGTAAAACTCTCAAATCTTTCGCTCTAAGGCTTCTCGACGGCAAAAATCGGTGTCGCGATATTCAACGATGAACCATTTGCGCGATGCGCACGCGAATGCGAGTGGACGCGAAACGAGCGAAATTACTTGCGATCGTTTTTGCGAATTCGCCTTTGAACGTTTGGCACTCTGGCAAGAGCAAACTGGGAAACCGAGGAGTCTGAAAAAGGGGAAACGAGCCGGCGATGATTGACGTTGCGCAAACATATACATAAATCGTGCACAAGACGCGGCCATGTCTTCGCGTTTACACATTTAACCCGAGAACGGGTGCACCTGATTTCTTTTTGCATAAATGATCACCTGAGGTTATTTTTATACCCCAATTAAAAGTCATTATTATTAATTACATATTGCACATTTTTGATTGTTCCATAATTTATTACTAGTATTTGAGGATATGTATACCTATAGAGTTATTGAACATTTTTTTCTAGAAAAAAAATAGAAATAAAAAAATATTGAAAAACGAAAGAAGCGCATTAAAATTACTATGACGTGAGCTTCATTTTTTCGATATTGGGGTGTAAAAATCACCCCAATATCGACTAGGCAACCGTCCCGGGTTAAGTACAGAGTGGTGCATATAAAACCGGCCCTAAACGCAAAATATGTTGCAAAATACAGTTGCAAATAACTGTTCCGGGCCGGTTTGTGCGCTACCCTGTACAATCTGCATTTTCAACTTCCCGTGCACGTACGCGAAAAAAAATGCTGATACACTGAGTATCCCATAATTATATAACTTGAATCGAGAACAGTCACGAAAAAAATACACTGTTAAATATTAAAGAATAAAATTTAAACCAATAAATTTTGTTATCTTCGACAACCCCACACACACACACACACACACACACACACACACACACACGTGTGTGTGTCGAAATTTATTATTTTGACACAAAACAGTATTATTTTAACTTCATTGGTTTAATTAAATTAACGACTTATTAAATAGAAGCAATGGCGACTTATATAGAAATAATTAAAAATGACTGAAATTGAGTATAATTTGACACGAATTTAACAGTGTATAACTTTCTTTTTATAGAAACTGTAGAAGCGGCTGATCCTAAACTCGTATTATTACTAACGGTTTCATAGATTTTCTTCCCTCATTTCAGACATGTTACAATAATTATTGTCGAATGTCAACTTCGCCGTCGAAATAATAGCAGTGCACTTAAACAATAATGCTCTCGCAGTAATAACGTCCGCGTTGATTCTCAACATTTAGGGAGTTATAATTTGAAACGTCGTCGGTCATAAGTGTATCATATAACCCGGTAAACAGTAGAATTACAAGAACAAACAATGTGCAACTCGCTTGTAAGCCGTCACTGCGCGAATATCTGCGTCTCATGCAGAATGGTGTGTATACGTGATGCATTATGCACTATCCAGCATAAATTTCCATCGACAACAGTGGTCTTGCGCGTTTCATCGTAAAAGCTACAATTCCCAATTCAATTATTACACTCAAACAATCGTCGTCATTTTTACTTTTACTAGCTGTAAATACTTACGAATTTGAAGTAAAATAAAGCTATTTTAATGTTACTGAAGTAAAGAAATATATAATTGAGAGTTGCGAATGAGTTATAAAAGGTCATTTAATAATAATTTAATAATGAGTATGAAAAGTATTTTAATAATAGATTTTCGGATACCGAGCTGTAAAAATAACGTAAGAAAAACTGAAGTAAATGAGATTAACGTAGCGAGAATATTCACGTAATTATGATTTAATTCACACATTTAGATGCGACTATACCCGATTTGGCCGGATGGAGCGCCGCGCGAAAATGAATTTCGGAGACCATCAACCGTCCGAGATATGTGTCGACAGAATTTGCTCCTGAAGAGAGCGAGCGATGAGTTTCGAGTGTATATATATACGGTAGGATGCGCGCCGTTCGTGAACCGCCAAACGTCCAGAAGTGATTTGTATCTTTCCTACGTAACGCGCGCGGGGCGAAATCCAGCGTAAAAGGTCATCATTTCAGAATGTGCGGTGAAAATAAATCTTTCGCTCGGAACAGTGCGCGCGCTCACGCCGAGGATCGTATTTATCGGGACCCTGGGAGGTATGTTACCGCGCGGTTTCACCGAGCCTTCGATTCGAGCGCGTGTCCGTCTCTCTCTCTTTCTCTCCCTGCCCGACCAACGTCTCTTATATCGACCGGCGAAAATTAATCTTGCGTACAGCCGTTCAATTAAGGGCTCTTTAGCGTCCCTTGAAAAAAGAAAGAAAACGAGGAAACACGTACTCGTACGGTGATACGTGGTATCACCGTGTATATATTTCGGATGTACATAAGATTACCCGAATCTCGTTCGTGGACGAGATGAAAATCCGGCCTGAACCGTTTGTACATACGCCCGCGCCAGTTTATCTACAAATAAAGGGATACATATAATCCACGATAGCACGGTCCTACGTAGCTAACATCTAAACACTCCACTGCAATGTCCTTTGTATATATTGCGTCTATTTCTCGCATCGGATCCGTGACGCCCCGTCGTCGCGTCGTCGCGAACCTCCGCTCACAAACGGACACAATCTACCCTTTACTTATCTTGCACTGGATGCAGCTAAATTTACACAAACCGCATGGATATACGTGTTATGTGCACTATATCAAACGTCGCCGCGCTTTTTGCCTCATTAATTTATGCATCTAGACGTGAAGAAGGAATACGTCGTTCCATTATTATGTTCGATTGTGGAAATAATTGCCCGGTAATTCACAATACGTTATAAAAATGTAACACAGTAGACATATTTATCGGATGTTTTGTAATCAGAATATAAATAGCGCTAAAGAATCGAATGCATGCAAACGGAAGGATCAAAGGAGTTCAAGTATCAGCCGCGGAGCGGAATGGCGGACGAATTTGAGAGAGTAGATGTGTAGAGCAAGTCGCTTCGTAGCACAACGGAAACACTTTAAGTGCATCTAACCATCCTAACGAGCCCGTTTGAAGTAGTAACGTAACGCAACGACGATTTCACCTCTATATGGCGGCGAAAACCCAGCGTGGTGGTAACCGCGACGGGGGAGAGCGAGAGCGCTTCATCAAAATGTCGCTCTATACACGGCCGTCTATTTCTCGTATTGAGTCCGTGACATTAAAGATGGGCGAACGCGCGTTCTCGCAAATGGCAGATCCGGCACAAGGGAGCTCTGCCGTTTTGCCTCGCACAGAGAACGATCCTCCACCCCCGTGCGCCGACTTCCCCGGGCGCCCCCTCGCCACCCCTTCGACTCCCTCGTCGGCGTTTCCTCTTTTCGCGCGGAGATATTCTTAGAACGCCGACATTCAGGAACTCCGAGCGCAAAAAGTAGAAGCCGTCAAGTTCTTCTTGGGGCGGACGCCCGCCGTCGACCACCCCTGGCATCACTCCCCCCCCCCGTTCGCCATTTGGTGCTATCTCTTCACGTCAACATGTATCGGCCGCGTCTTACGCCCGTGCGTGCGTGTTTTATTTTTATTCATCGTCGCGTCCTGATTTCACCTCCTCCCTGGCAAACGAGGTCGGCGTACGAACACCGGATGGAGGATAAATGGAGCTTGAGGGGGGTGGGAGAGAAGAAAGAAATCCGGCGAGATGACAAGTAATAATAACGGGGGCGCCGAAGAACGGAAAAATATCAACCGCTTCGTACCGTCTGCGGCAACGAAGCGAGGCTGGAGAGGGACCGTGATGGGCGGATAAGGGTGGGAAAGGGTCCTCCTGGTGATTAATGAAATGCATTAACTCCTTCCCCGGGAAAGAGAGAAGAGGGAACCTGAGAAAAGACCGCCGGCTACGGAGATCGCTTCGCCGGTTTCGAGAGTCTGCGGGAGCTACTGCTATTGATACGTTCTCGCGCACACAAGCGAGATTAAACGAGGCAAAATGCAGTTGTATTATGCATTGTGGAGGACCGCTATAAGGAGGGCGGAGATCTATCGGATCTCTTGGAATTATCGCGTTTTCCCGCATTCTCGTTTCGACGAAATCGAAGTGGATTTTTTTTTTTTTTCAGGGAAGTTTGACGAAAGCTTCGTTCGTCGCAATTTTTTCAGGACTCGACTTTTTTGACATTTCTCATAAATTTTTGATAAATCGAATTTCTGCTGTAAGAGGAGTCGCTTGAAGCTGATCACTGGAAAAAACTCTGTTTCATAAAAATAACTCTCGTATGTATTAATGAAACGTAATCAAACGGATACGCAGT